GGCTTTGGTTCAAACTGCGGTTCCCCAGGTCAGTAGCTCTGCAATCTTGGGCATGTTCCTAAACTACCTGGGCTTTATTTTTTTCCCTCAGTAACTTATAAGAGCACCTACTCCACAAACCCAGGAAAATAAACAGCAGGTGCTCAATAAACACTGGCCAGTGTTGTTATTCAAGATTTAGACTCATTTTGGGTATATGCCAGTCCCACCTAAGCTACATTCGCCAATGAGTCATACCTGGCTACCAAGCACCTGAAATGGGGCTCATCTGAACAGAGATGCACTGTACACGTAAAACACACATCACAGCCAGGTGTGGTGGCTCCCGCCTGAAATCCCAGCACTTTGGGAGGCTGAGGTGGGCGGATCACCTGAGATCGGGAGTTCAAGACCAGTCTGACCAACATGGAGAAACCCCATCTGTACTAAAAATATAAAATTAGCTGGGCATGGTGGTGTGAGCCTGTAATCCAAGCTACTCGGGATACTCGGGAGGCTGAGGCAGGAGAATAGCTTGAACCCAGAAGGTGGAGGTTGCAGTGAGCCGAGATCACACCATTGCACTTTAGCCTGGGCAACAAGAGCAAAACTCTGTCTCAAAGGAAAAAAAAAGCATTCAATTTTGAAGATGTGGTATGCCAAGAAGGATATCAAAATATTAACATTTCACTAATTAGTTTTCTTATTAATTAGTTTGATGCTAATTTATTACATGTTGAAATGAGATTTTGAGGACATGTCAGGTTAAATAGAATTAACATTAATTTCTTAATTTTTATTTATTTTAAAATGCATTTATCTTTTTTTTTATTTTTGTCTTTTTCCCTGTGTTCTATAAGATGAAGTTCATCTGCTTCTTTTTTGATGTTACCACTAGAAATTTTTAATTGGCACATGTGACTCGCATATATTTATTTATTTTTCTTTTCTTTTTTTTTTTTTTAGACGGAGTCTCACTCTGTCACTGAGTCTGGAGTGCAGTGCAATTGGCTCACTGCAACCTCCACCTCCCAAGTTCAAGCGATTCTCCTGCCTCAGCCTCCCAAGTAGCTAGGATTACAGGTGCATGCCACCACGCCCAGCTACTTTTTGTATTTGTAGTAAAGATGGGGCTTCTCCATATTGGCCAAGCTGATCTCAAACTCCTCACCTCAAATGATCTGCCTGCCTCAGCCTCCCAAAGTGCTGGGATTACAGATGTGAGCCACCATGCCCAGCCTCTCTTTATTTTTAGTAGTACAGGTCTAAAGACGTGATTTAGAAAGCAGGAATAGTTAAGGAGTGAGAATAGCATGGACTTGGCAATCAGAAAGATACAGCGGCTTCTCAGGGTAGCAATACTCCCTGTATGCTATTAGATCAGTCAGTTAAGTTTTTGTTTTTGTTTTTGTTTTTGAGACAGTCTCACTTTGTCGCCCAGGCTGGAGCACAGTGGCGCAATCTTCGTTCACTACAACCTCTGCCTCCCCAGCTCAAGCCATCCGCCACCTCCGCCGCCTGAGGAGCTGGGCCTACAGACATGTACCGCCACTCACAGCTAATTTTTGTATGTTTGTATTTCTTTGTAGAGACCTGCTTTCGCTATGTTGCCCCAGTGGGTTTTGAATTCCTGAGCTCAAAGAATCTGCCCACGTTGGCCTCCCAAAGTGCTGGGATTACAGGCGTGAGCCACCAAACTCAGTCAGCCTTTGTGTGCCCAGTATCTGTGACATGGAAGCAAAAATCCCTAGCACAAAAGCACTGTTTTGATCAATGAGATAATATATGGAAAGTACTCAGCTTAGTCCTAGGTGCTCAAAGGAATTTATCTAAAATTTCTTTGCGCACAAATTTGAGCACAAAATAGGTGTTCAAACACAAATAAAGGTTATAGCTTTTGTTACATGTGTTAGGGATGTTCAGTATTTCAAAGGGGCCTAAGTAAACCCTGAAGACAAATGACTCACAATAACTCTCATTTGTTTAGCAAGATGGACTTTTGCATGCCATTTTTACCTCCATGTCACCGTTTGATCTTCAGAATGACTTTGGGAGGTATGGACAGGCTCTAAGAGAGGTGAGAGGCTGGGCACGCCGGCTCACATCTTTAATGCCAGCACTTTGGGAGGCAAAGTGGCAGGATCACGTGAGCCCAGGAGTTCATAACCAACCTAGGCAACGTAGCAAGACCTCATCTCTACAAAAAAAAAAAGTAAAACATTAGCCAGGCATGACAGTGCATGCCTGTAGCCTCCCAACTGCTCAGGAGACTGAAGTGGAAAGCTTGAGCTTGAACCCAGGAGGTTGAGGCCACACTGAGCTGTGGTTGCACCACTGCACTACAGCCTGGGCGACAGGGTGAGACCCTGAGAGAAGGACAAGAGAGAGAAATGAGATAGGCCCAGGAGCGAGCACCTTCACCTCTAAGCAGGAACTAGGACTAGCCCTTCTTGTGCCAACCCTCTTAGATTCTCTCAAGTTTCCAAGCCTCTAAAGTGTGTTGCTGTATTTACCTCACTCTCTGGTTAGTTGGTTTCTATAGGGGTCTTCAAAACAAGAGAGAAGACCAACATTTATTACAAGCAGCAACCAACATTAATCACTTTCCCACATCAGTACATAAAACGCCATCTCATTCTTTTCGTTGAATGCAGGTTATTTTGCGTGATGGATGTACGCGAGTTTATTTGAACCAGTTCCCACTGATGGACAATTAGGTTATTTTCCATTTATATCAGTGAGACAAATTCCTTCGAGTAGAATGATGCTAGGAATAAATGGTTTGTGCACGTAGAATTTTACAGATTTTGACAAATCGCTCTTCAAGACATTTGTATGAATTTCCTCTCCTGCCAGCAATGAATGAAGTGCCAGTTCCCCTGCATCAAGAACATGGCCAAATATTTCATGATAAAAAGTCTGTGGAAAAAGCAGAGGAAAAGTGAGATGGTGGCTGGGAGGCCGTCAGGAGGTGGGGGCAGCTGTCCACGTGGGTAACTGTGGGTACCTGAACAAGGACAGAGGAAAGAGAGGGAGAGGGTGGAGCTCAGAGCTACCGTGAAAGTCAAAGTCTGTGGCGTGGCGGTGAGGGAGGATGACAGGAAGGAGGAATCAGATTTCTTGAGTTTCTGGCTTGAACAAATGAGTAGGCAATGGGTCTGTTAAGGGAGATGCTCAACATGGGAAAGGAAATAGGTGTAGTGAAGAGAAGCTGACGACTGTGAGAATATATTGCACTTGATTTGCAGGACATCCTGCTGAACCAGGGAGAGGATCTGGGGGTAGTGAATCATTTTTGGAAACCATGAATGTGCATGAGATTTCCCAGAGATGGGTAGGTGGGTGGATGGTTGGATGCATGGATGGATGGATGGATGGATGGATGGATGGATGGGTGGATGGGAAGGTGGATGGATGGATAGATGGAAAATGGATAGGGAGGAAGAGAAGATGGATGGAGAGATGGAAGGAGAGAAGGATACATGGATGAATGAATAGACAAACTGGCAAAAACAGAAACCTAGACTTTATTGCCTTTAGATCGAACCATATGAAGTTACTATTTTTGGCCAGTTGCAGTGGCTCATGCCTGTAATCCCAGCACTTTGGGAGGCCAAGTTTGGGGAGCAGATCACTTGAAGTCAAGAGTTTGAGACCAGCCTGGCCAATGTGGTGAAACGCTGCTTCTACTAAAAATACAAAAATTAGCCAGGCGTGGTCACTTGCACCTGTAACCCCAGCTACTCCGGAAGCTGAAGCAAGAGAATTGCTTGAACCTGGGAGGTGGAGGTTGCAGTGAGCCACGATGGCACCACTGAACTCCAGCCTGGATGACAGAGCAAGATTCCTTCTCAAAAGAAAAAGAAAAGAAAGAAATTACATTTTTTGTTTTAAAAATTATCAAGTGCTGGCTGGGCACAGTGGCTCACACCTGTAATCCCAGCACTTAGGGAGTCTAAGGTGGGTGGATCACGAGGTCAGGAAATCGAGACCATCCTGGTCAACATGGTGAAACCCTGTCTGTAATAAAAATACAAAAATTAGCTGGCCATGGTGGCACCCGCCTGTAGTCCCAGCTACTCAGGAGGCTGAGGCAGGAGAATCACTTGAACCCGGGAGGCGGAGGTTGCAGTGAGCTGAGATCGCACCACTGCACTCCAGCCTGGTGACAGAGTGAGGCCCCATCTCAAAAAAAAAAAAAAAAAAAATTACCAAGTGCTTAATTTTATGCAGGCGGTAAATATTTTGGGGAGAAGGATATTGATGTCTGCAGTTAACTTTGAAATGCATCAAAACTAGGATGTGATAAAGCACATGTGGTACTCATGTTAATGATAGAGGCTGGTGGTGGGTATATAGGTATTTACTGTAAAATTCTTTCAGTTTCCTGTACATTGGAAAGTTTCATCAAAAATCATAGGAAATGATTTTCATTGGCAAATATTGTCAATTTCATGTAGTTTCCCTCCATCTATTTTTTATTTGGCCAAAAAGATCCTTCCAGGTTCCCAATCTGTAGCATCAACAGATCTGCTTTGTGGGGTCCCCTTTGGCCCTTGTTCTGCCCCGATTTGGGGGCTGGAGGCTGACATTTCTTCCTCTCGGAGTTCAGGTTGAATTGCCCTAACATGCTGATTCCTGCACCAAGGATGCCGGTTTCTGACTTGTAAAATTATAGATTTCCTCTGCGATTTGATCCCATTGGTTGCCTCGGCAACGGCGTAATAGCTCCACCGAGGCGCTGTCACCGTGATGTAGGACCACTGTGTCTCTCCTGCAGCCTCCATTCTGGGTGCCTCCACCCCCTTGCCGTCGTCATGGTAACTGATGAGCAGCATGTGACCGAAAGCTCTCTGCCCCGCCCCCACACTCCCTCTCCCCATCTTGTGATCATCCCCGTTTCCTCTTCTGGGGCCCCTGTGGACCCGCGTTGACCCAGCTTGGGCTAAAATGGGGGAGCTGAGTAATTGTTCCCCGTAGGTTCCTCCCCACCCACCAGAAGGGATCAGGCAGACCCCAGAGCAGCGCTTCTGCCCTGGGTGTCCTGGAGATGACTTGGCGCCCCTTGGAACCCGGTCATGGTTGTGGCTGCATCCGCAATAGTGCAACAGCAGAGTCCTGGGGAAGCCATTTAGAAATCTGACGCCCTGGATCTCTGCTTTGTGCCTTCAGGGGATCCTGAGCCTGTTTTTAAAAAAAATCTAGGAAGAGGCCCCTGACAGGGAAAAGGGGAGGGAGATCGCCTGTTTTACAAGGTCTGAGATGATGTGACTTATCCGTCTGGCTTAATCCGAGCTGGGCTTAAAACACCTTTTAAAAAGATGTGTATTGTATTTTTTTCTCTGTTTATCTCACTCTTTCTGCCTCTGTTCATCTTCGTTGCTGTATGAGTTGTATCCTGCCTGTTTCTGTCTGAAAACCCTTCTCTTTCTGAACCCATCTTTCAGTCTATCACGTTCTGTTCTCCCCTCCTCCTTCACCTTCCCTCCGTCCCTCCCCTTGCACACTTGCTGGGTACCAGCTGAGTGCATCCTTTTCCCAAACCTGCTCTGCTTCCAAGGGGCCCTTTTCGGTCTCCTCCACCTGTGCCCATGTTTTGGGGACTGCCTGGAAATCCAGGGCACTCTCCTGAGGAGGGAGCTGGTGCCCAGCGGCTCCTCTTAGGATGATCGCAGCCAGCTGCATTCCTGGCCTCTGCAGAATGACATAGAGAAGGCATTTTAAGCAGGCGGGCTGAGCTTGCCACAGGACGCCGACCACCAGGCATCGTGAGTGCAAATGTATATGTGTGTGTGTGCGTGTGCACGTGTGTGTGTGCGTGCACACGTGTGCATCCTTACATTTGGATGTATCTGCTGGCATGGGGAGGTGGTGCCAGTGTCTGTTATCTGTGCTGTTGGGGTGTGCAAGTGTGTGTGCACGCACCCCTGTGCACCTGTGTACCTGTGTGCCTGACTCTCTGTGTGAAGGACACAAATGTGCCTAACAGATTTTTCAAGGATGCTTTGTGAACACAGCAGGATGAGACTCTTTAAAGTGGAGACAAAATAATGAAATGTGAATATAGAAATGATAGATAAGGAATTGCTTTTATCAGTAGGCTTGCAACAGCACAATCTGCCTGTGCCTGGTCCTAGGAAATGAAGTGAGAGTCACCTTGAAAAGGCATTCGTGTTCAAGCCCCAAAATAAATCCTTTCTCTTCATTCTAAGGACAAGAACAGCACAAACACAAACACCCCTTTCTCTTTGAAACTCAGGAGAATGGAAGGCTGGAGGCGGGGCGCTGTCACTGGGCATTTCAGGCTGAGTTTGCATTGAGAATCTCAGTTGACAGCCTGGGCGACTCACACCAAGACTAGAAGTCAGGAAGGTCTGGACAGCGCTTCTCTTCACATCCTGTGGCTGATTAGAAGTTTATTTTGAATTTTTTTCTCAGAAACAGCCTATACCCAGGAGGCAACCAGAAGAAAGCAGTTATAGAAAATGCAGTTTCATTTGCAGGACAAGATGTGGGAATCCTGACAGGCTGCCGCTGAAGATCCTGCAGTTGTGTGCAGGCTGGCAGCCAGCCCGCTGCCGGAGGAAGGGGGCCCTTTGTGCTTTGTGTGCCCCCGGGGTATTTGGGAAACTTGGCAACCAGTTGTTCCAAGTGAACCCTGACTCTGCAGTAGGCACTGGCCTGGGCACCCTGGTAGAGAGGACAGAGCCAGAGAAAAGGACTGGCCTCAGGAAGTTTCCAGTTCAAGTAGGAATAGACCCAGTGACATGGTACTCTCACACTCAGAGACGTTCCTGCTGCCTGCATTTCCTGCAGGCTGCCATCCTCCTTCCCCTTCCCTGGCCTCTGTCTGCCACGGCCACCCTTGTCTACCTGCCACGCTCTAATCATCATAAAACATCCCCTGTCACTGCTTTCTGGAAATCTTTAACTTCCACCTAAGAACAGGTAATGCTATATGCCCTCCTCTACCTGCTGAAATCACTTTGAGCCTCTGACATCACGTAACCAACCAGCCTCTTTCCCCACTTTACCCGTGAGCTGCACTTTATTTTGCAAGGACATAAAGAAAACTATTCATGCAACTACATGCAAAATGACAGGCCGGGCTTCTTAAAATGCCAATGTCTTAAAAGGCAAAAGGGCTGAGAAATAGTTCCAGGTTAAAAGAGATTAAAGAACCATAAGCGCAAATGCAATGTTTGATCCTAGGATGAAGCCTGGATCAGGGGAAGAAAACGCATTTGTGGGCTGGGCTCAGTGGCTCATTACCTGTAATCCCAGTATTTTGGGAGGCCGAGGGAGGAGGATCACTTGAGGTCAAGAGTTAGAGACTAGCCTCAGGAATATAGCGAGACCCCTTATCTACAAAAAATAAATATAAAAATAAACTAGCTGGACATAGTGGTGTGTGCCTGTGGTCCCCAGCTACTCAGGAGGCTGAGGCAAGAGGATCACCTGAGCCCAGGAATTTGAGGCTGCAGTGAGCCATAAGCCGTGATCATGCCACTGCACTCCAGCCTAGGTAATAGAGACCCTGTCTCTGAAAAGAAAATTATAAAGATGTTTAAGGGATAAGTAGAAATATCTGATATTAGATAATACTATTTTCGTGTCATGAGTATGCCGGTAATAAATAAATAAAGATAATTGTATTTTGTTTATGATACACTTCATGAGAGTAATTTAGTATCTCACGACATTTGTACTGAGGTTACCCAGGAGATTGCCCTTGTTCTTCAGAAGATAGACAGATAATAGAGTGGGTACGAATGTGGCAAAATGTTAACAGTTTCTAGGATTACAGGTGGTTGTGAAACTTACCTTCAGAACTTTTACGTGGGTTTGAAGATTTTTCAGTGTCCAACTGGACACTCTGCTTAGCTTTGTGCGTGGATTATCTCATTTCATCCTCAGAGCAGCTTGGGGGTGGGAGAGCTCTATCACACCCATTTCCAGTGGAGAAAACAGAGGCAGAGCCAGATGTAAGCCCAAGTCACGTTATGCCTCCACCTCGCGTTTTGTGAAATTTAGTACTAAAGATACAACATGACTGTATGATGTTGGGCAATTCACTTAACCTCTCTGTGCTCTGTTTCCTTTTTTTTTTTTTCTTTTCTGAGACTGGATAATCATAATATCAACAGGTTGTTCTGAAGCTTACAGGGATTATGATTTATAAAGAACTTAGAACAGGATTTGGCCTAAAGTAGGTGATCAGCAAATGTCTGCTGTTGCTGCTGCTAATTGTATTTGTTACTACAATTGTGATCCCAGCACCCTTGGTTTGGCCAGTGATGGGCAAACCTGGAAGGTTTTTCTTCTTCTGTACCCAGGGCCTGCTTTGTGGGTTTGTGACCTATGTGGTTATACATACCCACATGTCACTGGCTTGCAATTTGTAACCATTTTCCAACAAGGAGCTTGAAATAGTCATTTTATGCACTGGGTCCCACAAATCATGTAGCCAGCCCTGTCTGCATTCTCTTTTTATTGGATCCCATGGAGAGCCAGCCTGGGTGACAAAGCAAGACTCCATCTTGGAAAAAAAAAAAATGAAGCAGAACAAATGCCCAACCCAGCAACTGATACATGGCAGGTGTGCCCTTAATCCCTGCATTCTTAGTGGGATCAGTATTCCCAAGAGGATGAACATTGATTTATGGGGAAGTAAGGAAATCTTACTGTTTATGAATAAAGTACAGATATAAAATACAATATATAAGCAGATATTATCTGTGGAAGTAAAATTTCAGGGGGGACGTAGCTAATAAAGAATCTTTAGGAGAATGACAGTGAAAAAACCTTTGAGAAACGTTGCGTTGCTCAGACGGATGGAACTCGGAGGTTGCTTTTCAGTTCAGTTTTTGGTTGTCAGAATTTATGGCTGAAACTCCATGATTGAATTCAACAAGTGTTTTTGAGCACCTGCGATAGCCAGGCACCATTCTGGACCCTGGAAATGGAGGGCAGACACTGGGTGCATGCTTTCCAGTGCTGGTCTCTGAGGTCCCCTGAACCAGCTCTGCCTCTGGGAAGGTAACCCCTAAATGGCAGCCTTCAGAGATCTCAGTTTGAGGGCAGGGTTTTAGAGGCCTCCTCACGTCACCCTGAACAATAAGAATAGACGTATTTGCCTCCCAGGAGTAGATGAGATGGTGTATGTGAAACTTGGACATGGTTGGCATTCATTCATAAAATCAGAGCAGATACCTACACACCCAGGCGTAAGTGAAAGATATTTGGAATTACAGAAAAGTTATGGTCTTTGCAAGTAAATGTAGGAATGCTGCCAGGCACAGAGCGTGCCTCCAGTCAGCAACAAAGTGTTTCCAAGTCTGGAGCTGCGAGGTCCTTGAAGGAGATATAAATGTTTCCCTTGTTGTACTCTGATTTTTGCGTACTTAGCAGTTTCTGGAGTCCGTGAAAGTGGTTTGTTTTCTCTGAACAGGAAGTGCGTTTCCTTCAATCACGCCGACCTGATTTGTTTGTTGCTTGTCAGGCCTCCCCATGGGAACACAAGGTCCCATGGAACTCAGCAGGATGTATCCTTGTTTACCAAGGTATCTCCGGGGCTCAGCACAGGTGTACAGAAAGCATTTGTTGAACTGAACAAACAGATTTTACAAGCGGGACCTTCTGTGGCATTGGCCTGGGTACCTACTTCAGTGTGGGTGCAAGCATCCATCTTTCACTCCTCCTCCCTTGTAGGATCAGAAATCCAAAATGAGCTTATCTTCTTGCAGATGTTTGTTTCCATGTTATTTCCTACCTTCAGAACAAAGGCTATCTTTGTCTCACATTGAGTGCTTGGATTTGAAGCCCTGTCTGTTCATCTTTCTCGCCCGTTTTTCCACACACTGAGTAACTACCTGCCTGCTGGCAATGATGTGTTCATGCTCCCTGCGTTCCTGACTGAGGTGGGCAGGGAGGACTCTGTTGGAGACAAGGGCATGAGATCGAAAGAGGTTGAGCAGACCAGCTTCTGTCTCATGAAACCTAGGTGTTCAGGCTGGTAGTAGGACCACTGCATGTGCCAATAGTCTTTTGCAGCTCATCAGGCCATAGAAGAAATGCCTTGACCAAGTTCAAGTCCCGCCTGGGAAACATAGTGAGAACTTGTCTCTGTCTAAAAAAAGAATACGAAAGACGAAGAGGAAGAAGAAACGGAGGGGGAGGAAGACGAAAAAGGAGAAGGAGGGCAGAAGAAAGAAGAAAACAAGAAATCATTGTTCACAATTTGTATTTATTCATTTATTTATTTTTGAGCTGTAATCTTGCTCTGTCGCCCAAGCTGGAGTGTAGTGGCACAATCTCAGCTCACTGCAACCTTCACCTCCCAGGTTCAAGCAATTCTCCTGCCTCAGCCTCCCTGTAGCTGGGACTACAGGTACCTGCCCAGCTAATTTTTGTATTTTTAGTAGAGTCGAGGTTTCACCATGTTGGCCAGACTGGTCTTGAACTCCCGACCTCAAGTGATCTGCCCTTCTCAGCCTACCAAAGTGCTGGGATTACAGACATAAGCCATCGCACCCAGCCAAAATGCACAATTTTAAAGAGCTCTTTGGAAACAGAAAATGGCCTGCAGCTGGCATCTCTTCGACATCCTGTGTACTTTCTTCAGTTGACGCTAAGTCAGTTGAGTGCCTTGTGACCTCACGGATAGGTTTCATTCTTCCCATTTTACAGATGCAGAAACGAAGGCCCTAAAGAGTTCAGCAACTTGTCTAGATAATATGCATGACCCAGCCACACATTAGACCCCATT